TAAAATAATTTACATTTATAATGAGTAGTTTATCTTTATCTTCTTCTTCAAGCAATGCCATTACTATGATGGATTCTCAAGAGATAGTAGAAGATGAAGTAATTTATATTAATTTTATATTTAAAACTTATAAACCCAATGTTTTATAAAAAAAAGACCTTATTTAGAGATTTAGAGTTAGAAAATACTAATACTATTATGGATTCTCAACAGAAGAATGAAGATGATGTAAGTTTTAATATTTTTTTATATATTTAATTTAAATTATTATACCTAATTAGTGTTTTCGGCCTGGGTTCAAGCCGGTTCAGAAGTTATTTAATATGATACCAATTTAGAGAAATGATAAAAATATTTTATTCAAAAATAGCGCACGGGTCGGGCTTCAGTCGACTCATGACTAATTAACCGGTTTGAATATGAGTCGTTTTGCCGGCCTCGGTCAACTATTTAGCAACAAAAGACATTGTGTTGTTAAAAAGACAGTTCACCCGACTCAGAGTCTCTAGACGTTATTCGAATTAGTTGATTAACTCAAGTCGACTCTTTTATAGTCAAAACAATTGGTCCCTTTATTTTAAACTCTTATCTATATAGGAGAGACTGGGGTTATTCGAACCAATTTTTAAAAAATTGGCAGCTCCTATGATTAGATACCTAAATCTATATTCTATAAAGGTGCCTTATAAAAATCTTAAGATTATAATTATTTTTTTAAATTTTAATTTTTGTAAAAGTGATAATTTTGTTCAACAAGTCCCGATAGCAGGGTGAGGCAAACCACTTCAAGAGGCTTCCTAAACCATTGGTTTTTTAGGCGATAAAATATTGAAATGCATTTTTATTTATTAATAATGATATGTATTGAATGATTTTATTGTTCAAAATATGATATTACTTATAAATTAAAGCTAATAAATAATATATAAAAATCGAAACTTAATTTTTGCAAATTTAATAAACATTTTGGACATAAAAAAATATGAATTAGAGATTAAGATTTCTAAGTATTCCCAAACCAATCATACCTGTGATGAAGTACTTAAGTGCCTTAAGTCCTTTAAAAAAGGGAAAACAGGTGGGTTGGATGGTTTTAGACCCGGTTTTTTTGCTGATTTATCAGTGCTATGATAATGGTTTTATTGACCATTTGATAAAATGATTAACTAAACATTGCAATAATATCCTCTTATGAGAAGTTCCTCTTTGTATTCGTCTAATTCTTTTTGGCGCTCGTCTTGTTTCTTTAACCAAGCGGGATCACGGCGGCAAAAGACTTGTCTGGGATGTCTCGCGTGTTACCTCCTTTCCGGCTAACGGAAATACCGAACCCCTGGAACTCCAAGAACTCGATAATAATAAATATAGATTCCTCCCTAATTCTTTTATATTTATTCCCCTAATTTTTAGCGTTCTGGGAAACCCCGGTCCCCATTCCCTAAAGTTCTTAAATTAATTGGGTAGAAGAATTGCATTAAGGACAGGGGTCAAAAACGAGTTCTTATCTCTTAAACAAAAAATCCAATTCGAAATCCTAAAAATGTTTCTTCGAAACCTCCCTTTTCCCTCCTAGTTCAGCACCTATAATTTGCAAAATATTTTTTTTAGCGGCTTAAATCAGGATTGTGCATTTGACCGGTCAAATAAATTTCGGTCAATTGACAGATATTTGACCGGTAAAATATGGTCAAATTCAAATATATGTTTTTTAAGTTAATATCTATATTATTAATTTTTTAAATTCATTGTCATTAAATAACTAACATTTAGCTATCCGTAACAGATTCTTGTTTTGATTCATATTCAATATTATTATTTTCTTTAATATTTTTTAATCAATTTTCCTGATGTCTTAGATCTTCAATCGATTTTTATTTTTATAAAAATATTAACCCAAATCGACCTATTTCCTTCAAAATAAGAAGTAGAACTAGGAATTATTAATTTCTTAATGTGGTGGGCAAAGTTTAATCTATTAACTTGAGGTCGGAATTGATTGTTTTTGGAAATTATTATTTTCCTAATTCGCTATATTAAACATGCTGTTTTTGCTTTTGAAATTAATTATATCACTTAAAATATTTTGGTCATCACTATCTTGTAAAATAGCTAATTCTAGAATTATATCACATACTTCATTAAATTCACTACTAGTGAGATTCCCCTCTTGATATTGTTGACCCAAAAAATAAGCAAAAATTGTGATCAATTTGACCGTATTTGACTAGGTCAAATACTCCTTTGGTTAAGTGACTGATTAATTGACCGACTTGCCGTAAATTTTTTCTTAAATTAAAATAAAAATACCCCCTCTCCCTCCCCCCCCCCCCCCCCACGTTTTGGTAAGAAATATAATTTTAAAAAAAAAACAATGAATTTTACTTAAATTAAAATAAAAATACCCCCTCCCCCCCCCCCCCGTTTTGGTAAAAAATATAATTTAAAAAAAAACAAAACAATGAATTTTATATGCCAAAAAATAAAATTATTCCCCTCATTCCCTTTAGGTGCCAGCTAGGCGTTAACAAATTATAAGAATAAAAATAGTTTAAGTTATTTATTTTTAAAATTATTATTAAAAATATAAACAATTAAATATATTTTTTAAATTATGATCCCAAATTAAATCATTGAGAATTTAATAAGTTATTTTATTAACATTGAATTTATATTTTTATAGAGTCTTATAAAAATAATTAAAATTGAAAGTAATATTTCGTTAACAGATATTGATGATGGTTAGGATAATTTTACTTAAGATATAGATTCGCCCACAAATGCACTCCACATAGAACTTGATAATATTCATGAAGGTGCTAATATTTATACAGTTACTGCTTTATTAATGGCAGGTAAAATTAGTAAAAGAAAAATAGGGAGACCTTTAAATGAAACTCCTAAATTATAAAAAGGTTCTAGGTTATTTCAGGTAATATCATAAGTTAGATGATAATATAGGACATTGGCCAGAAGCGTCCAAAACTCGAAAAAGGTGTAAACTATGTGTTAGCGTATATTCAAGGACTAAGTGTGAAAAATGTGAAATTTATTTATACTCTAACCAGAATATAAATTGTTTCAAAACTTTTCATAATAAATACATATATATTTTTTTATACATGCAATTCGCTCAATGATGTCAAATTGTATCGTGATTTTTTTTTTACCTGTAAACTATGAAAAAAAAAGTAGAAATAAAATTTTACATCCTTAGTATATATTAATGAAGATTTTTTATAAAAAATTTTTTTTAGTTTTATTTTAAAAAGTCGAGCTTTAAAGGGTTAATTTAGAAATTAAATTTTTGATTAAATTATATTTCGTTGAATACAATTTTTAAAAATTGGAATTTTTAAGTTTTTTTTCAAAACTAAATTGATAGTAAGTATAAAGATACTGTAAGCACTGGATTACGTAGTAATTAACAAATATAAATTAAATGGTAAATTTTTTAAAAAAAATATTTTTTCAAAGGGAAAAGGCTAACATTTTAAACGTAATTTTAATTATTTTTATATCATTGAACTAAGAATTAAATTCTCTATCCAAAAATGCTTAGATTTTTTGGATTGTGATTTTAATTCTGAGTTCATTGATATAAAAATACTTAAAATTTCCTTGGATGATACTGTGTATTTTTTAAATGTTTTACGTTTTTGTTTTTACACCATTTAATAAATTCATTTGAAATAAATTGTTGACCATGGTTATACTCATTTTTCTAATCTATTTATTCAATTCTTACTTGAATCTTTAATTCTATCGATCTCGATCCATTATAAGTATGCAGCAATTCCTACCAGAGTCATTTTGGGGAGTCATTTTGGGTCGATTTTTCGCCCAAAAATTAACTCAATAAGTACATTAACAACATTAACTATACACAATATTTTATAGAATCAAAAGGCCGATAGTATTCACAATGCAGTAGAAAATAGTTATGAAATCATAAACAATGAAGGAATCAATATTCGTGGGTTTGACACAGATTCAGATGTAATATATTTCGATAGTATAAAATTTTAAAAATATATAATATAATATAACCTTTTTTTTATAATAACAATAAATCACAAATGATAAAATATGTTTATGTATATAAATAATATATAGATAGAGCCTTTGACTAGCCAAGATGCTATTATATGTGACTTATCACAAATTTCAGATATATCTACATCTAGTAAGTTAAATATTTCCAATGTATTCAAGATGACTCCGAAAAAATCTCGCCGAAAGTGTATATACTGCAATACACATTACAGTTTAAATACAGCCTCAAGTATGTATTATTAAAATTTAATATACGATTATAATATATTTTTAGCAAATTTAAAGAGGCACATTTCTAAATCACATTCGCATTTAAAAATGGAAAACAAAAACAAAAAAAGACATTCATTAGTGGGGATAAGAAATTTAGTATCTCACGAAAATACACAATTGAATAAATTAATTATGAGATATATTATAAAATGTAACATCTCATTTAATAAAATAGAATCTCCATATTTCAGAGATATTTTCTCTTTTATATTTAAAAATGAGAGAATATGGTGCAGGCAGACGGCTGCCTGCTATGTTAAAGATTTATATAAAAAATCTAAAAATAAAATTATTAAAGACCTTAAACAGGTCAATAGTAAAATCTGCCTTACAACGGACATATGGACCGGAATAAACTCAATATCTTATTGTTCTATAACAATACATTATATTGACAAAAATTGGAAATTTGTCAATTTCCTACTTGATCTAATAGATTTACCTCATCCACATACGGGTGAGGAAATATCAAATAATCTTTTATCCTCTCTCCAATCTTTTGGCATACAAGAAAAAGTAATGTCCATTACTATCGATAATGCAAAAAATTTCCTCTCATCTGTGTCTATAATGACAAAATTTTATATAGATAAATACGGTTATTCTCTATATAGCATTAGATGCCTGGCTCATATATTAAATATAATAGTGAGCTCAGGAATAAATATCATGAATGAAAAATTGGAAAAAATAAATAAATTCGTTAAAAAGTTGCATAATTCCCCCAAATTTATGAAGGAATATATGGAATTATCAGGTGGGACTCGTATACCACTTGATGTCGTCACAAGATGGAATTCCAAATTCTTAATGATTTCCATAATTAACAAAGTAATAACAAACACCATTTTTAAATTTAATTTTATATTTAAAGAATATTGATGTGGTAAATGATTTAGGTAAGAAAGGCAGCCTTCCTGATAATCAAATTATTATAAATAATGAAGAGGCCAAATTTTTAAAAGATATTGAAATATTTTTGAAACCATTCTTCAATATTACCCAAGAAATATCCTCAGATACAAATTCTACAATTGGTTCGGCAGTTTTATTTATAGATGAAATTGTCAAAACACTAGAAGATGTTAGTGAAAATCATGAAAACGAAACATTAAAAAATGCTGCTGCTGTTATGTTAAAAAAATCAAAGATATATATGAAACACATAAATACTCTTTCAAATTATATATCGTGTTTGTTAGACCCAAAGACAAAGAAAAAATTTTTGCCTAAATTTATAAATAATCCTGATTATTTTAAAAATTTCGAAACGTTATATATTAAATATAAAAGTACAATGTCAGGATCGTCAGCGTACGATTACAATGAGCCCGATATGGAAGCCATGCCTTATTCTGTGCGTATACATAATAAACTAAGAAGGTAAATATGATTACATAGTTATATATATATTGTCTTTATTATTTAGGGCTAATTATGAAATTCCACAACATGCCACAGATGAAATAGATACATATTTAAAAGAGGAAGTAGCTAGTCCGACAACCAATGTACTCGATTGGTGGCAAAAAAAACAGCTCAATATATCCAACTTTGTCTTTAATGGCCAGAGACTTTTTGGCTCAGCAAACTACGAGTGTTGCCAGCGAAAGAATCTTTAGCAAAGCGGTGGAATGCATGACTAAAAAACGTAACCGCCTTTCATCCATCACTTTGAAGCAATGTTTATCTATTGATTGCTGGGACATAGAACTTTTATAATGATATTATATTAACATTTTTTAAATCTATATATTTCCGTGTATTTTAATAAAAATATTTTTATATTATGTGTACGTTTATTTATTAATAAATTGAATTAAATTAAATGCGTGTTCCTTTGAATTTTTTTTATCATAAAGAATGCAGAATATTTAGTTATTGAAGCGATATTTAATCATGGGTAAAAAAATGTGAAATAAAAATTTAAATAATTTTTAAACTTTTCGTCTTGCCCTGCCCATATAAAAAAATTTAAACCACGCTCGCCCCCCATATAAATTTAAACATGCCCATTCTTCAAATTTTTTACGCATCTAATAAAAAATAAATTATTTAGTTTCACCCTTACTAAAAATTTCATAATTTAGTAAGCATAAAAAAATTTCCGATTTAAATGATGATATTGCCAATTGTGTAAGTTTTTCCAAGGCCTTTTCAGAAATACCTTTACTATTTTTTTTCATCAAAATGTAGGAAGTAAATATTACACATCCAAAATAAGTTCTCTTTTCGCCGAAAAAAACAGTTCCGATGTTTATAATTTTATCAATCATAGGACGAAATGCTTCGACCCGATAATTGCAATCAAATCCTACAAGTATTTTTATTAACTCATTAATTTTTACGACGATAACATCCGAAACAGTTATCGATAATCTGGTATTTAAAATTTTTTTTATAAGCATATATTTTTTAATGTTTATCTAATGAATTTTAAATGAAAAATAAACGTTAAAAGTTTGTTAGCCTTCCTTGTGTTAAATTTTTCAAAGATCCGTTAGCACTTTTAAAAATTCGATAAATATTTTATATAACGATTATGAAAATTATCATTCCTATGGTACATATTCATTTATGTTTCATTTTTACATCTTTACAATATATATTTTTACCTATTTGTTTTAAAAAAATTCAAAAAAGTTCACAAATAACGATTATGACAATTGTCACTTTTCTATGATACATCTTCACTGAAATTATATTTCAACATCTTTACAATATATATTTTTACCTATTTGTTTTAAAAAAATTCAAAAAAGTTCACAAATAACGATTATGACAATTGTCACTTTTCTATGGTACATCTTCACTGAAATTTCATTTTTACACCTTTACAATATATATTTTTACCTATTTACTTTGAAAAAGTTCAAAAATAACGATTATGACAATTGTCACCTTTCTATGGTACATCTTCACTGAAATTTTATTTTAACATCTTTAAAATATATTTTTACCTATTTGTTTTAAAAATATTCAAAAAAGTTCACAAATAACGATTATGACAATTGTCACTTTTCTATGATACATCTTCACTGAAATTATATTTCAACATCTTTACAATATATATTTTTACCTATTTACTTTGAAAAAATTCAAAAAAGTTCAAAAATAATGATTATGACAATTGTCACCTTTCTATGGTACATCTTCACTGAAATTTTATTTTAACATCTTCACAATATATATTTTTACCTATTTGTTTTAAAAAAGTTCACAAATAACGATTATGACAATTGTCACTTTTCTATGGTACATCTTCACTAAAATTTTATTTTAACATCTTTACAATATATATTTTTACCTATATGCTTTGAAAAAATTCAAAAAAGTTCAAAAATAACGATTATGACAATTGTCACTTTTGTATGGTACATCTTCACTGAAATTTTAACTTAATATGTTTACGATATATATTTTTACCTTTACCTATATATGCTGCTAACTAAAAAATCAACTTAGTCGACTAAATTAGTCGTTTTAGTCGACTAAATTAGTTGTTTTAGTCGACTATATTAGTCGTTTTAGTCAACTATATTAGTCGTTTTAGTCGACTAAATTAGTCGTTTTAGTCGACTATGTTAGTCGTTTTAGTCGACTATATTAGTCGTTTTAGTCGACTATGTTAGTCGTTTTAGTCGACTATATTAGTCGTTTTAGTCAACTATGTTAGTCGTTTTAGTCGACTATATTAGTCGTTTTAGTCGACTATATTAGTCGTTTTAGTCGACTATATTAGTCGTTTTAGTCGACTAATTAGTCGTTTTAGTCGACTAAATTAGTCGACCAAATTAGTCGACTAATAGACTAATTTAGTCGCTAAAGTTTTTAGTCGATTTCCATGACTACGACTATTAGTCGTAGTCGAAAGAACTCGACTAATTAACAACACTACATATCATAAATGCATGTAAACATGTGACAGTTTATTAATTTTCTAATTATAATAACGATGTCGTCAAATGTGGAAAGTTCAAATATAAGTGATAAAATACCCACATTACCTAGCATTTTAAGAAATAAAATCAAATGTGGAAGTATTATCTTATTTTTTTATTTTTATTAAAAATTTTTGTTATAGGCATTATATCATTTCAAAAATCTAGAAAAGGATCTTTGGTGCTGTCACACTGTGGAAATGAATATTTAAAAGATAAAAATGGAAATAAAAAGATTTATTATAAATGTCGTATACACAGTTGTCATGGTAGAGGTATATTCGTTGATGATATGTTTACCACTACTGTACCTCATGATATTTGCATTTTTAAAAATGCAGGTTTATTATTTTTATTACCATTAAAATTCAATTTTTTACATAATTCTAAATTTATTTTTAATATACTTAATACCTTTTTTGTTATATTTTAGCTAACAACATTCCCATTTTAAATTATGTAGTAGATGACTCTATTCAAGGTTAATATCTCTAATATTATTTAAGTTTTAGTTTCTTTATAGAAACCATTCAAGAACCACATGCAAACTCAATTTTGAATAATGATTATCTAAGTTATTATTTTTTGTTTTGATTTATTTTGTTTTTTTTCTAGTTAATATTCCAAATTCAAATGATAGTACAGATGATATTCAAAGTAATATAATGTTATTTTTTTAAATTTGTTTCCTCTTCTATAAATAAGATATTGATTTAAATTCTTATACTACATTGTTATCCAACAACACAGAAGATAATAAAAGTGACTATTCGAAAATTTATATACAATTTTTTATTTATTTTTTAAATAGATGACATTATTAAACAATCAATTAATAATAGACATATTTTATGTCATGGTGAAAACAAATATAGAAAAGATAAAAATAAAAATGGAACAATATATTATAGGTGTAAAGTATCTAATTGTCATGGTAGGGGTAAATATAAAAATAATCTATTTACTCCTACTGAACCTCATGATAAGTGCTTTGTTAAAATAAGTGGTATACATTTTGAACCATTTTTATCATTTTTTATTATTAGATAATAATGTTCCTTTAACTTGCAATAACTCAACAATGTCAAAAAATTTAAGTAATTTTTATATTTAAGTAAATTTTTTATCCTCTAAAATAAAATTTTTATATAAATTATAGTCAAGACTTCTAATTTATGTAAAAATGGAAATACAAGCAATCTAAGTAACTTAAACCTATAAAATACTCTTATTTGTTTAAAAATTATAGGCAATAATATTAAATTATGTCTAAACAATGATGGGAATATTAAAAGTATGGTATAGTATAAAATATATAATGTATATAATTTAAATTAGTTAATATTTCCCTATTTAATGCTTCTGATGAATTAATCAATCAAAGTAATATAAAAAATTAAATATTATTAATTTTAGCCAAAAACAATTTCAATTTAAAAGGTTCAAACCTGTATGAAAATAATCAAGGTAAACTAAAATTGCTTCCTTTATAATATAAATTAATTTTATCTAGTTAATATTCTTGTATTTAAAAATTCATCTGATTTGGAGTTATACAATAAAAGTAATTAAAAAATTCTTATAAGATATAGGTTTTATTTCAGAGAATATTACAAATTCAAGATGTTCAAAAATGATTCAAAATAATCAAGGTGAATAAATATTTTATATATGCAATCTATATCATTATTATAATTTATAAAATTCTTAACATATATTTTTCTAACTTAATTATAGAGATGAATAACCAAAGTATTTATATATTTTCTTACATTTTATTTTAGCTAATGATATTAATTCAATATTTTCAAATGTTGATGATATTCAAGGTATATTTTATAATTATAAGATTTATTTAATCCATTTCAACAAGATGACAGTCATGATCCATCTGATGGGATATCTGAAATAGAATCTTGTGATCAAAGTATATTCAATAGTGTTATATCTTATAAATTTATACATATTTATCAGCAAATAATGAGATCTCAAATAGTAATGAAAATTTTGAAAGTAAATAAATATATTTTAAATATCAATTTATTTGGTATTCAAATAAAGTTAATGAAGAAATAAATGAGTGTTATTTAACAACCTCCAATAATTATATTAAATCATCAAAGGGAATACCTTTTATATACATTAATAAATATCTATATAGTTGCAATAGAACACATGGTTTAACAAAGTATTACAGGTAATTAAATATATATTATAAGTTAATATTTATAATATATATATAAATATTTATTTAGGCATTTTTTTTACTATTTTATTGAAACATGCATAACTATTTCACCCAAGTAAGAGCGGCTAAAAACTGAATTAAAATTTTTTTTTCATTGTGATTATTCAAAAACAATTTTTTTTATTAATTATATGGAAAACTAATCATTAATATTAAAGTATAAAATATATTTTGCCTGCCATGGATTAAAAAAATAACTAATTAAATAGTGAAGGTCACACGTTTCATTTTGTCTCAACAAATACAAATCAAATAATTATGTTACTTGTACAAACCAGGAACCAATATTTCATTAGTAAAGCCATTATTATATTTGACTTGTTGAATATTTTTGTTGAAAATTTAATTGCTTCTTTCCAGCAGATTATTAAATATGGAAATTATTTTTTTAAAATAAAGGATTACCACATTTTGTTGAGTAGCTAAAAATAGAAGAAAACCCATATTTATAAATTTATATAGAAAATCAATATGCTGAGATCAAATGGGCTGTACCGATTCACATCATCTTCTTACTGATTTGATCAAAACTAGTGTTCAATTTGAGCTGATTTTTAAAAATAGCTAACTTAATATTTTATTCAGAAAAATATTAGGTGAGTCTTAATATTTTGCCCATAGATGATACAAAGGGTTGGACATTTACTACCGAAATCTCGAGGCTTAGTCAATATTTTTCTAGCTAAAATAGGTATTGAGCTAGTATCCAATAACCAATCTTATATTCATATTGATTTTTATTTATCAACCAATGTTTTTAAAAAAATTTACAATTTTTAATAAAAAAAGTCAAATAATTTTCACGAATGATTTAGTGTATTTTGCTTTTTTTATCCTCCATAACTTAATCATCTTATTTAAAATATGGGCAATGTTTATAGATGAATGTAGTTTCGCCGATTTAAAATAAAGTGCAAAATTATTAGCCAAGGTATAATTACTTAAGCCTTAAAAATTTGCCAATAGATATCCAAACCTTTATGTGACCTATGAGCAAAATCTCCAAACTTGAGAAATCTTATTTTAGTTAAAATCTTGAGTTAACCATTTTCAAAAATCAGCTGTCGAACCATTTAACAACACTTGCTAAATGTGATTCACTACATATTTAAAACCTTTTCCTTTTGCAGTTAATATAACAGAAAGTAGTACTAAAATATAATTCAATTTTTTTAAAAACATTCCAAATAAGTTTAATTTTGGTTCCTTTTATACTATTATGAAATTATGTATAAAATAAAAAAATATATCGGATAGGTTTTTAAAAAATATTGGCCCGATTCTATCTTTTTAAAAAACGCTAAATATTGCCCCAATTTGATCCAATATTTAATATCGGCACAACTCTAGATAAAATTACCCTTAAAAATATGAATTTTGCATATTATAGAATTTCAATTCACATATTCAAATGTTGTTCGCTATATCCAATCCATAATAAATAAATTGTTGAGGTATTTTAACCCATTAATGGTCAACGTATCGTATCTGCAACAGTTGTTATTTATTGATTTTTCACATATAAAATTTTTGAATTGAAATAATTTCCATATATGATTCTTATAGCTCGAAAATTGTATTATACATAAAAAAAGTTTTTTAAAAAATATTTATTTTTGATGTGCTTGATGCCATTGAAGTTCGACAATTTTGGACTATTAAAATGCCATATTGTTCTAGGCTCTCTCTCTTTGAAAGAGTATTTATTCCTTTCTTATAGATCTTAACCTATTCTAATTAATTTTGGCCAATCATTCTATCTATTGTCGGCTTTATAATCATATGTTTTTTTACTGTACCATTTATGCAACGTTGATCACATAAGGGTTAAAATAAAGTAATATTTCTAAAAAGAATTATATAAAAAATTTTGGCATAATATATTATTATAAATTTTTGTTTATATTCTTACTAAACATCATAATATTTTTAATATTTATAAAAAGGTCCAGAAAATTCATAATTTTATTGTTATTCTATTATATTTTTTTTATTTGAATATAAAAATTATTTGTAAATTATTTATTATCATCTTACATTTGCCAAATTTTTAGAATATTATTATGACAAAATAATTTCTAAAAGTTGATGAAGCCCTATCCATGCTTTTCGATGAAGGCCCTGGTGATAAAACAGATGTTGCAAATATACCTCCTAATGCTGCTTTAATTAGGGATGAAGAAGATTTCGATGAAAACGAGCTAACCGACACACCTAATCTTCCACTAGATACTGCAAGGGAGATCGAAACCATAATCCAGCAGACATTGATATTAGAATCCTCAATATCTACAAATTAAAAAAGCAAATTAAATTTCGAAAAAATTCAAAATGGAGAATAATTGATCCAATTTGCACATCTAAACCTACTGATAATGATTAGGAATTATTATTGAATCTTCTAATTTGATCGGGAAAACTCAAATATATTTTAATTATTTTTTGATCAAGAAATGTATTCATTAAGTGTCAATCAAATATTTATTCTAACCGAGTCAGAGATGAAAAGATTTATAGGAATTCTTCTGGCCTAACTGGATACCCCTTACCACAAGAAAGAATGTATTGATTGAATGACAATGATATTACTATAGTTCGGTATATTTTTATATAATTTATGTTTAGATGAGCGTATGATACCTTATCGAGAAGACATTCCTGTAAATTTTTGTCAAAGGTAAACCCATTCGATTTGGATATAAAATGGACCCTTGCTTCCTCCGATGGATTTATATTTGCATTTAATATATATCAAGGTAAAAATAAGAACCCAATGGCTTCCCATCTTGAATTAGGAGGTACGGTGTCACAAACTTATTCAAAGTTGTTCAAGTACCTTCTTTATTCTATTTACTTCAATAATTTTTTTTACATCTCTAATAAGGCTTTTATCGCATTTGAAGCATCTGGGATTTTTCGCAACTAAGACTAAAAGTGAAAATAGACTTGAAAATTTTCCCCAAACAATTAAAATAATGGCAAAAAGGATAGGGGTTTTTACGACATTGATTTGAAATGACTTATGAAATATTTGTTCCATGGAATGATAGTTTAGTGGTGACAGTTGCATCAACATAAAGCTCTTAGCCCTCTATGCAACGATGAAGATTCTAAGATTTTCTCAAAATAAAAATTACACAACCTGACTAATAAATTCATGTTATTCCAATATGGTGGCGTTGATCTGTGCGATAACCTAATGTCATATAGAATAAATATCCGAGGTAAAAAATGGTGGTGGCCTATTCTTAAAATTATAGACCTAAATTCATGGAATCGAGTGAATCCTGATGATAAAAAATCTTTACTAACATGTCGGAGGGAAATAACTACGACACTTTTGAAAACTCTTCTGGTAAATAAAAAGATGAGTAGTCAATTTTCCTCTAACTTATAATCATTATGCTACAACTATTATCGATAACAAAAAGCGGGTTGTAAGCTTTGTCATAGTCAGACAAGATATATATGTAACATGTGTCAAATACCAATACATATTGTTTGTTTTAAAAAATTTCATAAAATATAAAAATTACAAAATTGTAATTTATAAATGTAAATTACATAAATAAATTTTGAAATTATCTATCGTATTTTGATATCTTGCAATAATATAATTTTTTCTTATTTTTATACATCTAATTGTCAACGTTGCAGATACTAACCTAACCAATACACGGGATACAAATAGAGACTTGATGATCTACCAGAAGAAATCATTTTAGAAAAGATTAGAAATAGCACTAAGGAAAGGAAGTGTTCCTATATCAATTACTGATATGGATATGGAGGAGCTATCATATGGTAGATATGCACGAAATAACTTATTAAATTTGTTTTTTACTTAAATTCTGAGAATCGATCATGACTGTACATCTTGGTCATTTATTTTTGTACAAAAAGGAGCAATTCGAAAGAAGTTTATGATTAATTAAAATTGCAATTAGAACACACCCTGGTGTTTTAAATCCACTACACAATATGTTAAATAAATTTACTCCAATATCAGATATAGTGTATTGAGGGATTTGAGTGTCACTCCCTTCTGGAGTAGACAGATTAAATTTTTATATAGTCATGATTTGTCAAGGTATTTCAACATTGTTTCCAGCAGAAATAAGGTGGAGTTAATTATTAAAAAATATAGCAAATATTATAGAGGAATACATAATGAGCAAATTATACTCAGAAAAGAATAATCAGATCTCGTTACATTTGCCCAATAGTTTTATATGGTGTTTGGCAACGAGACTTGAATTAAGGTAATACCTGATGGTAACTTAGAAAGAACGGAGATAAGAATTGTTAGATGGATATGCAGGATATCCCTGAGATAGATAAAACCAGGAGAAGGACTAAAAGAAATGATAAGAAATAGGCTGATTATTTTGACACGCTAAACGGAAGGCCGAGGTGGATTAATAGATGCCATTGGTTGGATAGAGGGACAAGATCCAGTGGGCCAAAGACAAACTGGGTGAAAGTATTAGATAATGACAGGGAAATGCCATGTTTTACCAGTGTCGATGCTTAGGATCATAGGAGAGGGAGAATGGACATTAGAATGGAAACTGGCACCCGATGGACTAAGAAGATATATAAAGAAAATTTGAGGTATTATTGTATATTCTGATAAAGATAGTTCTAAATCAGATTCAGGAAAAATATACCGTAATATATAAATTTGGGAAAATTTCTGATACAATTTGATTATTGATATTTATTTTTTAAAATAGTTATAAAGTTAAAAAGAATCCAAATAATAATATTTTAAATTATAGTATCAAATTATTTTTTTTAAAAAAGTTTTCTGATCTCGCCCAATTATTTTTGCTCGGCTCGACCCAACCAATGAAATAATTTTATGCATGTTTCCAACCTAGCCCATAATTTTTTATGAATGAAAATGACAGAAATTTGCTTAATTCTAAGTTTTTCAAAATACCTGT